AAATACTATTCATTACTACTTTCATTTCATTTGAAACAGAAACATAGTGTATTCGTTACAAGTGTGTACCAAAAGCATCTTACTCAACTTTGGTAAGTTTAACCAAATACTTAATAATATATGGAACCCATTATTGAAACAACAGAGAGATTGTTAAAGAAAAATGTGGAAAAAAAAATGTGTGATCGGATTAATATATTGACAAAAATATACAGAGGTCAAGCTGTAATGAGATTATAAAAATGTAGTTTTAAATAGGGAAGTGTTATTGGCACTCCAAAAATCTCATTCTACACTTCTCATAAGTGTATTTTCCTTTCTAATATAGAAAGTTTGGGCTGGGATGTGACAATTTGGTATCAGAGCCAATCCCTGGCCAGAAGTGTGCCGACTAAGACGTCGAGCCCTTAAAGGGGGTGGATTGTAACATCCCACATCGCCCAGGGGAATAGATCTTGTAAGCCTTATATGTATATTCTCATCTCTACCTAGCACGAGGCCTTTTGGGAGCTCACTGGCTTCGGGTTCCATCGAAACTCCGAAGTTGAGTGAGATCGCAGCGAGAGCAATCTTAGGATGGGTAACCCACTGGAAAGTTCTTGTATGATCTCGGCCCGGCCCCTACCACATCCCTAGCTCAACTCTACCGTAGCACAATATTGTCCGCTTTAAGCCCCGACCACGCCCTCACGGTTTTGTTTCTGGGAACTCACACGAAAACTTCCCAGGTCACATCCCGACCCAAGCCCCCATCACATCTCGGGCTCGACTCCGCCGTAACATGATATTGTCCGCTTTAGGCCTCGACCACGCCCTTACGGTTTTGTTTCTAGAAACTCACATGAGAACTTTCCAGTGGGTCACCCATCCTGAGATTGCTGTCGCACGAACTCGCTTAACTTTGAAGTTCCGATAGAACTCGAAGTTAGTGAGCTCCCAAAAAGCCTCATGCTAGGTAAAGATGAGAATATACATATAAGGCTTACAGGATCCACTCTCATGGGCGATGTGGGATGTTATAATCCACCCCCCTTATGAGGCTTACAGGATCCACTCTCATGGGCGATGTGGGATGTTACAATCCACCCCCTTAGGGGCCTGACGTCCTTGTCGGCACACTTCTGACCAAGGATTGGCTATGATACCAAATTGTTGCATCCCGGCCCAAGCCCCCACCACATCCCGGGTCGACTCCACCATAGCATGATATTGTCCGCTTTAGGCCTCGACCACGCCCTCACGGTTTTGTTTTTGGAAACTCACATGAGAACTTCCGAGTGGGTCACCCATCCTGGGATTGCTCTCGTTGCAATCTCATTCAACTTTGGAGATGGAACCCAAAGCCAGTGAGCTTCCAAAATACCTCGTGCTAGGTAAAGATGGAAATATACATATAAGGTTTACAAGATCTATTCTGCTGAACGATGTGGGATGTTACATGTACATTTTGCATATTTCCATTAGAGAACTTTCCGGCCAACCGAAGATGTAAAATAACATTTCAAGGAATTTTACATCTTTCATTGGAAATTGCCCTTACATGAGCAATATTATAGAGGAGATGAACTAAGGATCTCAAGAGTCAATAAACAACTTTCCGTCGTAATCATTTGAATTACAAGCTTCTTACATACTTTTCAATAAAAAAATTTCCTTCATAATATAATATAAAGTAAATAGAACTTATCAACCAACTATTTCACACTAAATGGTTAAAAATAATTGAGTCAAACTTTCTTAAATAGTGGTTTAAGATTCACCATGGAATGTCTACAAAGTAAAGAAACTATGGTCGGCTTGCGTAAGGCTGACAAGAATATTTTGCTCTTGTACACGTTTGAGCCCTAGACATAGAGTTTGCTTTTAAAAATCTTCTACATAACTCTGCCTTTGTTTTACAATGGCCAACCAGAAAAAAAAAAAAAAAAAATTTAACGAAACATTTTTGGTACTGTTCACTTTAACGAAAATGATATTTTTACTCTAAAAAGTTATTCCTGGTACTATTCACTTACAACACATTTTTGTCATTTTAATTAAAACTTATAGTTTTCAAGTCATTTTTATTAGTTTTCCTTAAAAAAAATGAGGTTTTTTTTTTTTAATTTTGTAAACCAATACAAAGGGTCTCTTTGTTTCTTCTTGTCTCCCCTCTGGTTAAAATCCTTAAAGTTTAGGTTCTCAGCCTTTCTATCTTCTTCCACAAAATATAGATATGTATATAAGCCCAAACAAAATCGGTTATAAATTTTTAATAAAAAATAAAGTCAAAAGAATACTAAATGGATAATAAACAAGCACTTAACAATCTTATAACAATATTATGAACCATTTGTTATAGGTTTAGTGTGACCGAGTTTGCAAAGCTGTTTCCACAACTCGAAATCTCAAACCCATAACCTTTAGGTCACTAAAATCATAATCAATTTTATTTGTGCATATTCCCTTTCTTTCGAAACCCTAATCTATTATAAATTGGTCAACTTCAACTTTATGATCCTTACCAAGAAAGATGATGGCATCGAATTAATGGCTTCTACAATTATGTTAACAAAGAGCACTTCTTCACACTTTTGATCTGACAACTTTTTCCTCCATTAATTTAAAACACGCATGCATATTTTTCACTTAGGCAAAAAAATAGACATGAATAGGGTCCTTAAATCATGCAACATGTCCTCAAGATAAATGGCTGCCTGCTAATTATTGTACTAAATTTGCAGACATAAGCTATAAATATTAGTGAGGCATTTTGATCCCACAACGAAACAACTTTATATACGGACATATCATCATAAGACTTCAAGATTTACTTTCCAAATGCTTAATTGTAGTCCTTTGATCTTAAGTGGTATTGATAATGAATTTCATTAGTTAATTAGTCCAGTCGCTAGAGAAACTGATAATGTTAGTGAAAATATTATTCGGGTGCAAAGAACTATTTTAAGAAAAAATATGGAGTACTTGGAGTTAATGAAACGAAAGACATGACACAAAATCAAGCACAGTAGCATTTTAAAATTCATATGGCCAACATTTTTCAATGGGATAAGACTTGGTTGTTGGTTGTTGTAAAACACCATTTTGGACATTTTCCCCTTTTGGTAATGTGATTGAGGATGTGAAGTCGTTGCTGGTATATGCCATTGGAGATGGTTTTACGGTTTACCCATATTATTTGAGGTCGGGCCAATGGTGATGTGCACTGTCTTGCTCGATTTGCTTTACATATAAGTGTAGCTTGCACTTAATTTGAAGTACTTATGGAGTTGCTGTACGTATGAATTGTTGTATTATCTGATTAATCTTGTTTTAGTTGTTCGTCGTACACATTTTTTTTATTGGGTTGAAAGCTCTGACAAAATTTTAATGAGGCTATGCTATGCACTTCGTCTCGTCCTCTTTTCTTTTACAATGAAAATTGCCAATGAATATCGTGCTTTTCTCAAAAACAAGGCACCCTTATAATACGTTTATGTGGACTTTGGAGTTTCCTTCATGGCATGGATCGGTACTTCGAATTTTAATCAAGATTCGAGTAATATTAACCACCAATTGAAGAGGAAATGATCACCCTCCTCCATTAGCACCAACATGACAAAAGTCAGAGCCCGAATCAGTTCTTGTCAACTATAAATATGCTGTAAAAAGTGATTCGGGCTCTAACTTTTGTTAATTTTTTTGACATCTTAATGGAATTTCTTGTTTTAATTTGTTTCTTAGTGTTGATATTATGGCTGCAAATACTAGTTTATTTGCTTAATTATGGTTTATTTTACTAATACATGATTCTGGTATAGAATTTAAAGCCTAAGGCTCCAAATGCATCATCTGAAACTGAGGAACCACAGCCTGGGGTACCAAATCCTTCTCCTGAGAGAGTGGAACAGCACCCAAAAACGCTGGCCCCCCTCCCCGGGAGAAAACTAACCCAAACCTTAGGATGCAAGAAAATCTGCCAAACCATCTCATTCGAGAAAGAGACCAACAAGTACAATGCTGTTGTTAGGCGATATCTGCGCTATGAGCAGCCTCTTTTGGAGAAACCCCCTTAAATGGGACAAACTTGGAGGAAGGACAGACCTCGGGCGAGAAAAGCATGGAAGGAAAAATGGACTATATTCTACAACTCTTGGAAAAAATGAACTCAAATGTAATCACCTTGCTGTGGAATAAGATTTTCTTATTTACTGACAAGAAATATGACATTTCGTTTACATGTGCAGATTGAAGCCTTGACAAATGAAAACCGTAAGCTTACTTCAAAGTCGGAAGTTGCTCATGCCAAACTTGAAATCATAGTTTATAACAGCATTCAGAGGTTTAAAAGGACAAAAACCAAAGAAAAGGATAATCTTGGTTTTTTTGGAGTACTTTGAATTCTAGGACTTTCGTTACATATGTCGAGCGGTGAGTGATTGTCATGTTTACTTTGTTTGGTTGTAGTTTGAGAAAGGGACTCAAGCATTTTCTGAAGTGATGGCGAAAACAAAGGACGTGATTTTGGTCTCATTTATCGAAATCTACTGAAACATTTATGAATTTCTCAGCTCAAGCAGCATGTGATGCACTTTCTCCTCAGGATTCTGCTCAAGATCGCAAGTCAGCATCTAAGGACAAGAGAAAGAAGCTGTCCTGGTGGTTTAAGCAGTAGCTGTACTGGCTTAGCTTGTAAAACATGAAACCAGTAGTTTGGAAGCCAGTAGGCAGTAGCTTTAGACATTGAAGCATAACTTTGGTTGGTTGTTAATATTTAGTACTTGGTTACCCGTGTGATGTATGTTTCCTTGCTTGAATGATGAGTCGTAACTTTCATGGTAGTTAATGAAGAATGTTGAATTGTAATATTCTTTGATTTGTTATGTTTCCTTGCTGAGAACTGGTATCCGGAACTCGTTTTTGAAACTTATATGGAAAAAAGGTTAGATTATAAGATATTTTCCATTGAAATCACCTTAACATATAATTTGAGTGGGGAAATGAAGTTCTGAAAATCAAAGTAAAGCGATAATATAATTTCCATTGAGATCATGTACTTATGTTTCTGGTAAATCAGTGAAATCACAGAATAGAAGTCCATGGCATCAAAATTTACATCTGCAACAGTTTATTTCGAACCCGAAGAAACAATCTGCAAAACCATTCTGCTACTGATCTCCATGAGAAAACTCATCATCAAGCGAAGCAGAGAACCCTAAAAGATTACTTCTTGGTGTCTGAGAAACTTCATTATCAGCAGTAGCATCACCATCTCCACCATTTGCCTCGTCTGCTGTCGGTCGTGGAGGAGACGAGAAGTCTAGGCACAACCCTTGTACAACTTGTTCATATGAATCAGAGAGGTCTTGGGAGGTGAGCTGGTGGTACTCCACAAGCTGGTGGAGGCATTGATTTTCCCTAACTAGGTTTGAATTTTCATTTGCTAGTCTTGATTTCTCGGCTAGCAGTGCCTCTAACTGAAGCCTCACCAGATCATCTTCCTCAAGCCTCAACCCTTTATCCCGCCCGTCTCGGAGCCTCCGATTCTCCTCCTCCAGCAAAACACAGCGCTCTTGCATAAAGGATAAGTCCAATCTTATCGACTTGAGTTCCCGGGCAAACGAAGCTGCTTTTGTTGCCATAGAAATCGCAAGCTGTAGAGAGATAAACACACATAAGCACACAATTAGCAACCAACTCAAAACTCATCAAAGTTTGACACTGAACAAAAGAGAGAAACCTACATTTTTCGCTTTCTTCAGCTTCCTGTCTCTCGGGACTTCTTGCTCATGTTCTTTCTGGGATTCATCACCTTGTTCCTCTGAGCAATGGCTGTCGTCGAATTTCCTCTTCAATCCAACATTGGAATCTTCTGCATTCTGCTGTTCTTCCGAATCCTTCTCTCTACTCTTCTTCTCCGAGTTGCTCAGGTGGTTATGGAATATCTCCGTCAATGTGGGTTGCTTAGCTAGACCGTTGGCTCCCTATATAAACACAGCAAACAAAGTAGTCCCATAAGCTCAAATCCCATCTGGGTTCGACTAATTTCTACAGTTCAGGCAATCAAAAAGCAAATTTCAAAAATTACTATTTAGGGTCAACAATAAGAACGCCTAAAAATACCATCATCGTCACCCATTGAGCGGTGTACTACACCTTCTGCTCGGTCTCATACGGTGTACTACATGGATCATTTGTAAGTGTTCGCATTTAATACATGTTCGTACCCAAGAAAAATCGCCTATTTAAAGTCTTTCCAATTCAGATCTGACATAAAAGTTCAAATCTTAGCTACAAATAGGGTAGAAATTTACCTGAAGAGCATTATCCAAAGTGTTCGAGAGCTGA